AGATTCTCCTGCAGGAGCAGGCCAGGATGAGCTGCTCCCACTGCCCTGAGTGCAGACAGTGCAGGAGATGAGTCAGGAGCCCCAGCACGGACACTGGGGAAGGAGCTCTGCTCTCACCAGCCTGGCAGTGCTGCTTCCTTAGGGCAGATGGGGGCTCTGAGGATGCTGCAGCACAAATCCCACACCATGAAGGGCCCAGGCAGGAGGATCCCTGTCCCACAGTGACCCACAAAACTCCAAGTGTGCTCACCTCCCATCAACATGGAGACTGAGGAAGGTTCCCCGTCTGCTCCCATTATTTTTTTGCTCAGTTACAGCTTTTTTGCTCTTTTTTCTTAATTCAAAATAGCATCTCTGACCCACTTTTTGACAGACTTTAGCAGGGCTTGCATCCCACCATCTGCTCTCACAGTTCCTTGCATAACTGCTACATGGAAATGGATCCTTGCTTCCTCCTTTCCCTTCTCCTCCTCCTCCTCCCTGCACTCCATCATTATTTGGGTAAAGCTGCTCCATTGTTCCTGCCAAACTTGGAGCCCTACTGCCTCCCTCAGCTTGGGAAAGGAACTAGAACAGGGCAAACAATTAATTCAATTATCAATAATGCTGATTAACAAGGGGGGAACACCCGTGTCACACAATAATTTCTGAGGTCATGTTTATTTTGGAGGGAAAAATGCCCAAATTTCCTCTACAGCTGGAGAGAAAAAACCTGAATTAAATTAAACAATTAAGTGTCAAACATGGGGACATTTTTGAATGTACTTTTCCAGGTTTTGTGGTAATGCATCACCAGGATAATGTCACTACATGGGGGGAGCATCAGAGCCATGTGTGATATGGGAGACAAGCTGCTCTCCAAGAAAGCATAAAAGAAAAACTTTGCACTTAATTACTTGGCTAATTAAGCCAGGCTAATTAGCTGGCTTGATTTAATAGCCTGTGTATAAAATTTAAGTCAAGTTTACATCTCCTTCCAAAAGAAACAATTACAGGCTCTGCTGAAGTTACCCAACTCACCAGCAGGAGTTGTGATGGCAGATTTGTCTGGCCTAATCCCAGTGTCTTTATTTTTCAGATCCATCCACTTTCCCATGGCATCAATCCATTTTCCTATGGCAGCTCTTTCCACAGCTGCAGGATCCACTGCTTCAAACTCCTCCTCTGCAAGGAAAAAAGGCAACTTTGAACACACATTGTGAGGAGAGCAAAGTGGGTGGCAAATAATCCTCCACTTGAATGTGCCAGCTCTCCCTGCTAGGGAGGAGAAACCCTGAGCCACAGCAACACACAGATGAGGCCACAGATTTCAGCTCCTGCTTTATCCCTCCTCTGCTGCAGCTTTGAGGTCCTACCCAGCCCTCTTCAGTATTTCAAATCATGGAGCTATCCCATGGAAAAATTGTTTTATGGCCCAGCTACTTTTCATTCATGGTAAAAAGTAGCTTGGAGAATTTGTTTTTAAGGTGCCAACTGAATTTCAGCATCACAAGATTACTAAGGAAGGATTTCCATGGCCAAGTCCTTCCCATGGAGCTGTCTGAAGCACGGATCTGGGGGCACTTTGCACAGCATGCAGTTTTCACCTGTTTATTTTTACTGATTCAAGTCCTCAGTGCACTGACTGGAGCTGTGCAAGGCAGGCCTCAAGCAGGGAGAGCTCAGCATACCTGCAGCACTTTGGCCTGCCAGTGATGCTGAGCTTTCCAAAGCCTCTGACACAGCTGCCCCCTCCAAATCCTCTGTGGAACACCAGGATCCAGGTGCTTCACTCTCCTCCTCCACGCTGAAGGACTCAAAGGTGTCTCCTGAATAGTCCAAGGCAGAGCTGCTGTGGCTCTGGCTCCGCTCCAGCCCCTTCCCATGGCTCCTGGAGCTCTCTGCTGGGGCGGCTGCCATGGGACAGCACTGCAAATAAAAACAAAAATAAGGTCAGTTTCACAGAATTACTCACAGCAACATGGGAGGTACTTTGGGATGTTACAGCCACATCTCACCAGATTTAACCACCACAACAGGTGGGTAAAATCACAACTCAGTCGTGATCAAGCCAAAGCAGGGATTAGAGCAGCACACACTCAGATCCACAGGGGAAATGCACAGAACCAACTAGCACTGAACATCAGCTGTGAAATCTGAGCAGCACTCTTTGCAAATCTGTAGTGGATTACAGCAATGCTTGGATAAAATTCTTCATTAAAAAAATAATCAAATTTCCCCCTTTCTAGTGTCTGAAAGGAACTTACAGGGAAGAAAAGGTAAGACTATTTACAACACCAGGTAGTGTCAAAACAAGGGGGAATGAGCTGAAATGGAAAGAGAGGATGGTTAAATGAGATAGTGGGAAAAAACCTTCCACCACCCCAGGCTGCTCCCAGCCCCATTGTCCAGCCTGGCCTTGGGCACTGCCAGGGATCCAGGGTGGGCACCTGTGCCAGGGCCTGCCCACCCTGACAGGGAACAATTCCCAATTCCCAATCTCCCATCCAGCCCTGCCCTCTGGCAGTGGGAGCCATTCCCTGTGTCCTGTCCCTCCATCCTTCTCCCCAGTCCCTCTGCAGCTCTCCTGGAGCCCCTCCATGCCCTGGCAGGGCTCTGAGCCCTCCCTGGATTCTCTCCCTCAGCTCTCCCAGCCCGGCTCCAGCCCTGCAGCGGCTCCGTGCCCGGCAGCTCCCCGAGCCAGGGCCGTGCCCGCCCCTCACGGGCTCCGGGAGCTGCTCTGCCCTTCCCTCGCTGCTCTCAGCCCTCATGGACGGGCTCTAAGAGCGGCTTTTTCCCCCTGTGACCCTCAGAACCTCGCTCCTTACCCCGGCCCGGCTCCCCCAGGCGGGCGGGAAGGGGCGGCCCCGGGCGCTGAGGGCGGAGCGGGGCGGGGAGCGGAGCTCGGGCCGGCCGCGGCTGAGGCGGAAAATCCGGCCCCGAAATCCTGCCGGGCTTGTGGGGTCGGGGTTGAATGGTGCCGGATTAGTGGGGTTGGTGTTGAATGGTGCTGGTTTGTGGGGTTGGTGCTGTGCTGTGCTGCACGTTTCGTCCCGGCTGAGCCCCACAGCGAGTCTGGGTCTGGAGAGGGCTCTGAGGAGCTGGAGCGAGTCCGGCGGTTCGCGAAGGGTGAGGGAGCAGGGCCGGGGGAGCTGAGCTGGGTGTTCATCCCTGCCCTGGGTGGTTTTGATCCCCCCTGGGGTGGTTTTGATCCCCCCTGGGGTGTTTTTGATCCCCCCTGGGTGTGTTTAATCCCCACAGGATCCCCACATTGCACAAACACCGAGAAAGGGGTGCCCGGAGCTGTGGCAGCGGCTTGTGGTAAAAACACCGCCCTGGATTCTCTCCCTCAGCCCCAGCTCTGCTCTGCCACAAGGACACAAAAGCCTAAAGAAACACTAGGGGATTTTTAAATTACTTTTTTTTAACCTTTAGGAGAGTGTATTACACCCAAGAAGATGAAGGCAGGTGGCCTTGGATGTGACACTTCATGGAAATAAGTATTCCAGGGCATGAAATCTTTCTGTATTTTCAGGTACAATTTCCATAGGTTATATCACGATTAAAGCAACTCTTCTCTATTCTGGAGTCTTTAAAATTGTTATTTCAGGTTAGCTAATACCGCTTTCTGTTTTGTTTTGGGGTGTTTTTTGGTTTTACTGTGGTTTTTTTGTTTGTTGGTTTTTACTGGGATTTTTTGCAGTTTTTTTTGTTCTTGTTTGGGTTTTTTCTTTGGTTTTTTTGTTTTTGTCTTTTTTTTTCATTGAAGCCTTTTTTTTTGGCAAGAAAAGCTGATTCTCCACTCCTGGGATGGCACAGTGTGTTTGCTGTCACTGGGGTTTTATCCTCATGCTGAGCTTGGACTGCCTGGCCAAAGGACAAGAGATTTTGTCTTCTCTCACATTTGAAGCGCAGCAAAAGTGGTCTTGTGTCTCCTGGAACAGAGAACTCTGTGCTGATCTCTACATTTCATACAAAGAAGGATTGGGCAGCATGAGATGGATGCAGGAGTGTAATAAATGCATTGATGCAGTGGTGGAATAAACAGCTGTGCCTACACATTGTTCAGGGTGTAACATTCACTTCTTTGCTGAGTGAGCTGCTCGGGGCTGGCCCTTTTCTTGTAGTTTGCTGCAAGAAATTAAAATAAATTAAGTGGGATAAACATTTCTTGTACCTTTTCTGCCCGTTCAAACCAGAGCAGTGATCAGAGGGGTGTGTGAGTGGAAGGGAACTGCAGGAGCCAGCTCAGTGCCAGGAGCTCATGGAGAGAGGAATCTGGAATTCTGGGATTATGGAATTCTGGAATTCTGTACAGTTTGGATCAGCCAGACCTGCCTTGTGCTCTAAACCTGCCCAGCCCAAAGGTTCACCTTGCAGTGGCTGCTCTGAGGTGTTTTCCTTCTCAGGAAGGCAGCCAGGCTGAGGGAGGTCAGGAGCTGGAAGGATCTAGAAAATAAAGTGAGAGATTTCATGCTCTGGGTTAAAAACCACAGGGAAAACAGGGCTGGGAGAAACATTTCCTTTTCTTTAAAAATCTAATCAACATGCACAGAGAATAACCCAGAATAACTGAGAATAACCCAGATCCCCACAGCTCCCACTAAATGCTTTGATTATTTAGCATTGCCCATTTTTTATGGAAACAGTTGACATTAGATTATTAGTGACCTGGGTGGTATTTGATTTTTTTCCCCCTGGAGGTTAAAGACTTTGTAGTTTCCTGTTCTAGGTCCTTTTTAAAATTCATTTCAGGGCATGAAAAATATATTGTTCCGTCAAGTTTATTTCTCTGACATTTATTCAGTGCAGAGTGTGATCCTAATATTAAAGGTTTTTGATTTGAAGCCCAGGATACAGACAAGGCTTTTCAGTGGTCTTCCCTAAACCAGGACATTTCATCACTGCCTGGGAAGTTATGATGTTGGAACAGCATAATTATTTGAAGGAGTGTTTGTTTTTCAAGGATTTGTGGGTGATATTAGATGGCTCAGCCCAGTTGTGTCACAAGGTATTAAGGTTTCTGCCTGCTGAAGTCATGGAGCTGGGCCCATATAGAGCCATAAATAATATTGTGGGAGAGCCAGTGACAGACTTTGACTCCAGCTCAACTCTTTATTACTTGTTATATTAAATTTAAACACAATTGTTGAATTCCTTGCTGTGGGCAAAATGCTTTTTGATGTCTCCTTCTATTAAAGTTGTAATATCCCTTTTAGCCTGTGAAACTCACTCTTGCCAGGTGTGTTTCTCCAATAATTAATGATGCCAGCAGAATTAATTGGGCTGGCACCACAGGGTTGGGCATCCAGTTGGGAATTATGGGCTGAGGCCAGTGGAATAAAGCACATTTTGATTGTGGGGAAAGCTCATGGGGCTCAATGATGAGATGCTCATGGGCATTACTCTGTAGGAAAGGGCAGATCCAGGCTGGAACATTTTTTAACTCTGGAAATACGAAGGACAAATGCAAGAACTGTTAGGAAATTTGAAAGCATTTGTTGACAATTTAAGATACAGTCAAGGTTTTTTTCTCTTTATCAGCACAGAAAGTGCTGCCAAGGAGCCCCCAGACACCATAAATCATCCAGGAGAGTGCAGAGGCTGAGCAGATTACAGAGGAAAGGCTCTGGGGCAGGCAGCACCCTGAGAAGTCATTGTTTAGGGCCTGCTGTATTTTCAATGGTCATTTCAGCTGCCATTAACTCCCATCCCTAATTAGGAAATGGATTGATCTTTGCTGGAGACTGGCAGGTGTCCCTGGCACATCAGAGCTCTGCATGGCAATGAGATGGTGAACGTGCCCACTGAGTTTCAGACAGGGGAAAACAGAAAATCCATATTTTAGGCAGCTGTTGTTAATTGTGCTTTGGGATTGGTGTTGGAAGCAGCACTCCATCAGCAAGGCCATCCCTGCCTTCCTGATTTTCCTTGTGCTTTCAGCTGGAGAAATATCCTTCCTCACCCTGTCTAAGGAGGTGGGAAACAGCAAATTTCATCTTCCTCCTTTATGCCTGCAGATTTCCCCCTGAGTCCTCTCTTCTTACAGAACTTCAATAACCCAATGGGAAAACATCTGAAAATGCAATAAAGTTCCATGAGGCAGCATTATCAAATCTCCATTCACAGGGATGGATATCCATGGGTATGGAAACATCCAGCTCCTCACTGGACACTGAATTCCTAATTCCCATCTTCCCCAGCAGCCTCAGATCCTTTGTGTGTGAATAAATCAGTGCTGCCTCACCCCAGCAAGGTGTGAATCTGGGAAAAGCCCAGGTCCTGCTGTGCCAGGACATCCAGAGGAGTTTGCATCAGTTCTTTTTGACCCAGAGTTATTGTAGGTGCTTTAAATAGCTGGATGTTGGAGAGCAGTGATTTCTCCTTGTTTTTCCAAGGAATATTCCAGCCTGAACATGACATTAATTTGTAGCAAAGAGGAGAATCAAACCTGTCTAGTGAAGGCTTGAGATTCCTTCATTTTCTTCTCTCCTTTTATTATTTTTACCCAGTGATTTCCCTGGGTAATTCCTGCTGAATTCTCAGTGCATTGTGGTGGGAAGAGCTTCCAAAGGGATCAGCAAAGGCAGATCAATACTGCACTTATTGATCAGTTTGCTTTGGTAACAGGTTGATTCTTTGGGAGTCTTTCAGGACTGGCTTCAAACCAATGAGTTACTTTGCCAGTTCAGCAAATGCTTTCATTTAGAAATGGCAGCTTTTCCTACTGACTCTGTGCTTAGCCTAAAACCACAGGATTTATTCATTCCTTATTCATTCCAATTTCTTGAAGCACTGAAGTGCCCTACACCTGCTGTGGGTCATAGCAGCAAGGGATTTTCTGTTTTCCTTTCCAGTCCTTTGCTGGTGGAATATTATTTCTACTGGAGAACCTGGACTCATTCTGTAGCTCAGAGGACTTTTACAATCTCTCCTGATTTTAAGCTCATTTCTGAGCAATCTCATGGTCCTGGAGGCAGAACATCAATGCTGCTCTGAGCATTTCCTCTCTGGGAAGGAGGTGACTTCTTTTCAGTGATTATATTTTTTGGGAAAGAACTTCTCCCTTCATTTTCTGTTTGATAACTCAGAAAACAAACATTGATTTGAAGTTTGGCCACCAGTTTGTGCCACTTTTGTGTGTAGATATTTGAGGACTTCAGTACCCTAATCTGAGGCAGATCCCCTCAATAAATGTAGCCCCTATGATCTTAAATAGTGATTTTATTTGTGGACCAGGCAA